GGAAAGGTGAGGGGAAGGGGCAAGAGAGGTCCCATCCAGCACCCTCCTGCAGCAGCCGCAGCACATGCAGGGATGCTGCTGCGGGGCCAAGCGGCTCTTCCAGGGCTGGGAGAAGCAGATGGCTCCGGAGAAGCTCTGGTGTAGAAACTTGAGGCAGTAATCTCTCCAGAGCAGCCTTCGCACAAAGGATGCCTGGACAGGAGCCTCAGGATGTTGTTTCTGAAACACTAGTAAAGGAAGCATTTCCGGCCCCAAGAGTTACAATATAAATATAATAACGTGCAAAACCAAACACAATAAAGCAAATAGATGACAAGTTCTTAAGGAAATAGCGATAAGGATGATAATATTGGGGAAGCTTTTGAGCTCTTTGCCCTTTCTTAGATGAATCACACCCGTTCATTCCTCAGGAGCCGTCTGCTCGGAGCAGAAAACTTGCGTCCTGCGGTAGGAGTGGACGGGAGCTCCGTTTGCTCAACCCCAGTCAGGATTTGGTCCCATGCCTCCTGTTAATACGGAGATGTCGTCCCAACAGCATCTTAGAAGCTTTGCTAGGAGAAACAACCCAAGCTTCACTCAAATACTGTTTTATTTGCGGCTTCATACTCTGCTCCGGCTGCCCCGCTCCGTACAGGCGTAGGGACGCTGGTTCCGCTCCCAAAAGCTGGATCTGCCACAGCAGTTCTTCGGAGGCCTGAGCGCGGAGAACGTAGGAGATCGGTTGTCATTTCCAGAAAGCGTTGGTCTGTCTGGGAAGTGGTGTGGTTTGGTTGCTAAGGCTGAGGATTGAGACACAAAACTTCTGGCTTTTGGGGTTTAGCTGTGGTGTGGCGTTGCTCCAAGCGCTTCCACGTGCCTCCGCTCTTGCCCGTGCGGTGGGAGTGCTGCAAAGCATTAATACTGACTCGCTGTCCATTGAAGTGGGAAAGTTATTAAAATGCTTTGAAACTCTTGAATGGCAATGGATAGGTGAGAGTAAGGTTTGATTTATTTGATGGGGTTTTGTGCAGAAATAGTCTTCTGTCACGGCACATCCTCTGGGTCAGCAGTGCTGGTGTCTTGGGAGGAAGGTGGGAATCTAATTATTTCATCTGTCCAAAATAGCAACTTTTAAGAGGTGGGGAAATGACTACACCAAAACTATTGTATGCCATCTGCCTGCTAAAATACTTAGAGAAAACATGTTTCCTGGCATATAACTTCCTAGCCATATGTTTGTTGCATCATTCACAATTAAATTCAATCACCCTGATATACTTGGACAAATTCCCAGCCTATGTGAACAAGCCTTCATCACTGTGCTGTTTGAAATTTGGACACTTGATCCTGTAAATGTTTAGTTCAAATTGGCTCAGCCATTGTTAACCTTACACAGCTGATACAGACTGCTTCGAGATAATTCAAGGGCATGTTTCTTATTTTTGGTCTTTAAATTTTTAACTATAAAAATTTGTTAGGGGTCTGAAAGGAGGAAATAATTCTACAGTATTCATTTGCAACATGCTCAAGTCACTTTAAACAGAGGTTTAAATGGAGAATCATATCCTGAGAAAAGGTGTTATTTTCCGCTCGTTGAATAAACAGATGGAAATGACTGAAGAGCCTGTTTGCAGCTGGATATTCTGAATATTCGGAATATGCTTGGAGGTGTGTACACATGTACACACACAGACCTGGAGGGTCCCTCTGCCCCACGTCCCCTGACGGGAGCACGGCGATGCTGCGCTGGGGAACGGCTGAGGCTCAAAGAGCAGTGGTGGGATGGCTGGAAGCAGCTCGAGGTCTCTCTTCTAAAATTCTCTGAAGACAGTGCTTCCAGTCAAAGAATAATCTTGATAAGTAACTGATTTCGGGCTTTTTTGGTTCTTCATTTGAGGATGTGCTACATTTACCTGTTGGGCAATGCTTAGCTGAGTCACTATCCTAAAATGAGTTTTAAGGCATGATCTGACATAGACAGTGCACACAGTGGATGTAAGTATTCAGGAAACCCGACATCTCTGACACAGGGAATGTCATTTAAATGCAGCCCAACTTCCACTGGAAACCAAACCCATGAGCTTCCCATGCTCGGTGTCTGGCAGACCCGGTCATCCTCTATTTTTAGTCCAACTCTCTATTTTTAGTCCATTTTTGAAAGGTGAGATAAAACCGGCCTCCAAACCCGGATGATTCCACTGGTTTCTTTCATTCAGGAGCCCAGAGCCAGGCCGGAGGAGAATGGCAGGAAACCGGGCAGGACGGCGGGGAGATCCCCGGGGGCAGCAGGACGGGGCGGGGGGCACCGGGGACCGGCTGCTGGCGGGGACCCTCCGTGGGGCTGCACAGTGCGCAGCCCCCAGCTGCCCCGCAGCTCCTGGGCTTGGCACCAGCACATTTGTTTTATTCTTTTCCTGCGGTTCACTTTATTTTTAGTGCTGAAAGAAAATTTCTAAGCATTTCTAAGATTTTTGCCTTCGCTGTAGAAAAGTGGCCCCACGCCCTGTCCTGCCCGAGGTAGCTCAGCAGCTTTTCTTGGTGGGTTCGGTGCGATGGGCTGTTGGTCCTCACAGATGGTCTTCTGTCTTTCTAGACTTTGAGATATCAGCTCTTTATTTTTAGTTGTGTTATTCAACCCAAATTCTCAGTTTTATAGGAAAAAAAAAATCTGTTATTTAAACAGGAACTTTTTCTCACTCTGCTTTTCTCATTTCATCTTTTGAATATGTTTTCTAACCCGGTATATGCATGCAAGGCTGTGTTATGCACCGAGTCATGTTTTTCCCAGGGTGAGTGTGTGTTTGAGAGAGTAAAAAGAGACATCGCTTGGCGGGAGCTGTTGGAGCCAGCCAGGCTGTGTCCGCACTCAGGTTTTGTACCGTATTGTAGGCCATATTTTAACAGGATATTTTGGTCTTTAATAGAGCTGTATAGCTCTGTCATTCAGTAATAGATTACTGAACATAATAGAAATCTTTATATAGATGTTGGAGCACATTTCTGAGCTACAGATGTTTCCTTCCAAGAGACATTTTCCTGTCATAGGATCAGAGAATGGTTTGGGTTGGATGAGACCTCTAAACATCATCTCGTCCAGCCCCTGCCCCATGCTAAAGACAAAAGCTACTGGAATTCTGTCATACCAATAAATGCACATCCCGTAAATGCTATTTGGAGATTTCTTTGTGCACAATACCACCCTATCTTTTTTTCTGCCCTGTAATCCTTTTGCTGACTGTAGCCGTGTGACTGTAGAAGCGTGATGGGGGCATCCAGATGAAGACACTACACTGAGCAAGTGCTTAATTGTCCATCCTCCCATAGCTGTTCTCCTGGCCACCTCATTTTTGATTTCCTGTTAGCAATGACTCCTTTAGTGACCGCATCATTTAGCTGTAAAAGAGAAGGAAGAATCCAGACCTAACTAGAGCTTAGTTTCCCAAATGATCATATGTTTTTTTTTTTATCTGCCAAGGCCAAAATGGTTACGAAGACATTTCTGTTGTCTTTGGTGTCCCCAGACATGAAAATAAAAAAATAGAAACATCAAACTATTTTAAATTAAAGAAAAATAAAAAATAAAACAAAATAAAAATTTTAATTTTTTTTTTTAAAGAAAATCAATAAATTTGGTGATACTTATGTCTCTTAAGGCCCCATTAGGCTGTATTCACTCAGCCCTGTTTGCCCCTGCTGCCGAGCATCCCTCATGCTGCTGGTTCCGGAGCTGGTCCCACGTGCGCCTGCGGTGAAACCACTGGAGAACTGGAGAGCCAGGACCAACCGTTGCACTTGGTCAAGTTCAATCTGGTAATAAAACTGAGGTCACTATTTCTATACTGGTTTTAACGTTTCTATAATGCATTATTAATGGAAATGAGCTCCAGGAAGTTATTTACTAGTCTTGAGTCCTGCTTCTGCTCCAGGTTTTAGGCAGAAGTCTTTGCCTGTGGGTTTTTCTCTCCCCCAGACCTTCTCTAACCCATTTCATTCGTCCTCTGTTTGACTGAAGTCAATTTAGTGAAGCTAATGGAGTTACTTCTCTTCAGGTCAGTGATGATTTCGCATCCTTGAGTTCCTGGCTTAATTTGCCGAGAAAATTTCTGACTCTGAAGTCAGTTTTCAGAGTTCCCCCTTTCCAGCCCAGCCCTGGGACCGCGCGTGGGGCCCGCTGGCGGTGGCTGGACCTGGGGTTTCTCCACTTCTCTGCTCCCCTCGGGTTGCTTTGCTCTGAGGGAAGTTTAGCAGCAGGCTCGGCTGTAATCCCTCCTTCCAGCTGGAGCCTTGGCTTCAACAGGAAAGCAAGCAGCTCTCAGGAAAGAGTTAAGCCCAGCGAGGCTTTGGGCTCCTTTGCTGGGGAGAGGGTTGCTCTTTTGTTTGTTTTGAAGTGCTGGCAGGAAAGTGGGGAGGAGAAAATTACCTAAGTGATAGTGAGGTTGCCATGAACTATATAAAACTGTGAAATCAAATCGGAGAAACTCCACCTCACAGTCTTGAACCGTAAGCACAACCCCTGAAGAGAAACCCACCCCACAACCGAGTGATCTGAAAGGCTTGAACTAAAACCAAGCTACATGAGCTCAGAGCGGGAAGCTTAAAAATAATGAAGTGGAGGCAGCTTTTCTGTTTTGCGTTCTGTGTGGTGGAGCTGTCTGGTGAGTATTGACTGCAGCAAATGCCAGGGCTGTGAGCACTGAGAAACCACAGTGTGGGACTAGTGCATGGGGCAACTGCTTTGTAACTTGTGAAAGAGCAGCTTGGGGGGATGCCTTTTAACGGGAGTTTAGCGGGGACTGCAATTTCACCTTGCAGTGACATTTGACAGAACAGCACTGGACCAGGCATCCTGGCCAAGGCATTCACAGCGATGTGCTGCGAGCAGAAAACGCTGCTGGTTTGAAAAGCAGAGCAAGCAGGATATGAGAGCTCCTGTAATATTACAGATAACACAAGGGGATGCAAATGCAGCCTGCAAACCTGTAAAGTGCAGCCACAGTTCAAGTCATTTCTCAGTCTGCATTGGGTGTAAATTAGCCTTATTTTGTTTTGTGGTAGGAATGAAACATTTTCTGAAAATCAAATGAATCTCCATAAATATTAAAATCTCCTATTCCAGCTCTTGAAATATTCATCATACGAAAAAGTGAATAATAATATGGAGATTTTCTCTAGATAGTACTTTTTAAAGGGTTATATTTTAGGGAAATATTATCATTTTTGTTCCAAACCCAACAACCATAAAGTAATAAAAAGGGAATTAAAAAAGTGAAGCAGCACTCCGTGTGCTGCATGGTGTGCTGGGACAGGAGCCAGGAACCTGCGGGTGTCTCCTCAAATACAATTTTTCCTTACTCACATGAATGTGAGCGACTGGATCTATTGAAGGAATTTACTGTATTTTGTTCTTGTGCTTCACGGTGCTCCTTTCATGTTCCCTTTGCTGACAAGGTGTATTGCTCACCCCGACTGTTGTGCCTGACCCTCCAGTCTATGTTAATTTTACAGGAAGGAAAAGATTTTTGAGTAAAATTCAGGACTGTCTGGCTGGGCTGAAGCAAGCAGCGAGCAAGGGTGTAAGACAAAAGTCTTTACCTGAAATGCGAAATCTGGGCTCCTTGTAGTGCATGGCAAAAGAGATACAAAAGTGATAAAAAGCTGTGCCTTTGTAAAGCCAAAGCTGCTGGGCGGCGGCGGGTTTGACGCTGCAAAATGTCATTGCTCGTGCCTGCACAGGCAATGCTCCATGTTTCTGCAGGGTATTGCAGGGCTTTATTAGCACTCGCTGGAGAGCAGAGGGGGTTTATTTCTGTTCAATGTGGCTGCTGCACAGAGCAGGGAAAAGCTGGGGAGCGCATGCTTGGGGCCCTGCTTGCTCGTCACCTCTTTGGGGAGTCCGAGGGAACCGAGCGAAGGTTTCGGTTGTGCAGCTCCCGATGGAAATCCCGGTTCTGGGGGGTTTCTGCTGGGGTTGGCTCCTGGCAGCGCTGCCGAGGGTAGGATGGCCGACCTCCACCTGCCCCCCAGGACACCGCTGGCTAAAGCCACGCATTTTACCAAGGAAACCCCCCGTGCCACGCTGGGCCAGGCGCAGGTCTGTGCAAATGCCACGCGTGGACGCGATGTGGGGAGGATGGATGCTGGGTACCGACGGGCTGCTGACTGCAGGCCGACTCCAGAGGAGCCAGCAGCCTCGCCCAGCCGTGCAGGGAGCAAACTGCATAAGAAGTACCCAGTTCTGGGCTTTCCCAGCTCCTCTGGGGAGCCGCTGAGTTGCAACAAGTGTGAGAGAGTTTTACACCCGTCCCTGGTCTGCAGAGCGGGCTGGTGCTCCAGGGCTGCTCGAGAACGTGCAGTGATGGTGTGAGCAGCTCGTGGTGGCAAAACTGGGTATTGACAAACCACATGGAGAGTTGTCCCGTGCTTGTCTCAAAGCTTCCATGGAGAAGTTTTTTGTATTTAAACCTAAGACAAACATTCATATTCTATTTGTACTTAATACAAACATTTTCCTTTTTAAAAATCTTTTCTCTTTCTTTTTTACATCTTTTTTTATCCATCTCTGCCAAACTTGATTTTAAAAAAAAGGTCTCTTGTCATTTTAAGCATTCTTTCTTTCCTTGATTTCTTTTACAAGACCTACAAAAGCTCTAAAAAGCAGGGAAGTAAAAGGGACTTTAAAACTCACAGCCGCTTGAGTTTAACGTTCCTCAGAGCACTGCCCGTGGTGACAGCACAAGCCAGGAGCAGGCTCGGTCCCAGGGAAGGTCCTGGGCTCCCCAGCAGCGCCCAGCTGCCGGCGGGCCCCGAGCCCAAGGGAGCCCTTGGCCCAGCTGCTGGGGTCTGGCGTGGGTGCTTGGGGGGCTCCCCGCAGCCCCCTGTCCTGTGCGCCCTGCGTGACAGCAGCCCCACACCCTTATCCTGCCTGGCAGGAGGAAAAGGGGGAGGGAAGGGGTTTTTATCAGATATTTCCAGAGGGAAGAGGGCTCCACCCGCTTGAATTCCTGCCACATGGCTGAGAGCAGGAGAACTGGAGCGGCGTGCGCAGCGCAGGCTGGAGCCCTCCGAGGAGCTGCTGCAGGAAGCCTGGGCTGGCCCCGGCTGCAGAGCCCACGGTTCCTCACAGAATCCTCTCAGAATCATCGGATGCTTTGGGTTCTTTTAGAGGTCCTCGCCCTCCTCTGCTGCAGCTGCCCGTACCAGGGGTGACGTGGTGCCGGCTCCTCTGCCGTAGCTCGGCTGCAGCCCTTCTGCTGCACTGGCTGAGCTTGGAAAACCACGTTGCTAAACACACGGGAGAGCTGGAGAAGCTGTCCTGGCACAGGCTTTCTGTGCCAGAGCGCTGTGGCAGGCACCCAGTTAGCAAAAGCTTTACCCAGAGGTGTACCAAGAGATCCGAGTAGCGGCGTAGGAGGTGCAGCTACTGTCTGGCGGTCCCACCCGCCTTGCCGGGACGGAGGTGCGGGGCAGAGAACCCCGGTGTTTAATCTGCTGCGAGGCCAGAGTAGGGCGCAAATTATGGAAACTTTTCTCCTGTTTCCTGAGTCTTTGCCACTGCAGAGTTTTGCCTTCTATGGCCCTGGTTTAGTGCTCAGGGAAGAGTGTTGGACCAAGCCAACTGCTTTAACTTTTATATTGTTGCCCTTTTTTAAAATTTGATATGAGCTGAAATACTTCCTAAGCCCTGTTATTAAAATACCTTTAAAATCAGAGGCATTTACTTTTTAAAAGCTAGGTAGGTAAATACAGCAGGTACTGTAAGGTACAGTTTTCTTTCACATATCTGCATGCTTTTGCTCCTGCATGTGCTAGCACTACCAGGTGAAAATTTCTCCAAGGTTAATAAATGGCTTGGCTTAAAGTCTCAAACCCTTAATACCAACAAACTGACAAAGTTTAGCAAAGGTAGTAAAAAAAGTACGGTGCAGTAAGAGACCCACTTTAGCTAAGCACCATATGGATTATCCAGCTCACAGCTGGATCATTATTTATCTCATGAGTCCTAAGGTTTCAAAAAACTTCGCCATGTTTTCTGTAAAAGTGCTTGCATACACTACAACACAGGGAAGAAAAAGAAGTATTATGTGACAAGTCTTCTCGCAAATTACACTGAGCAATAATCCAGGCTTCAATTTACGATATTCAGTGGTGAAAAGACTTTGATTAGAAATACCTCTGGTGCTTTACAAACATCTGGAACAGTTCAAAGGTGCTTGGGTGGCTGTGGCACTTGGGGAGGTCAAGCCCAGGCGCTGCATTGTTCTAGTGATGTCAGGTTTCCTGCTAACGTCCATGCAAACACAAAGCTGTATGCAAAGCGTGGGTTTAACTATGTGCTACTCATGATTCTGGGCATGCAGTCATGCCTCCTGCTTTTGATTTGTTAAAATTCATCACAAAAACTTGGTGATTTAACCAGTTGGAACTGAATTGTCTTGGAGAGAAGAAACTTCTCCCTTAAATAAAAGCGGTGCCAGAACCTAAATCCCAGCTCCAGCCACCTGCACCGAGCCCTCGGCAGGGC